ACCCTGTCCGACTACAACATCCAGAAGGAATCAACCCTCCACCTGGTCCTGCGTCTGAGGGGTGGGCAGTAAAAGATGATTCCATGTTCAGTGTTTCTTGTTCAAAATTTTAATAGCCATGCATAAACATTTGAGCATGTTAACAGCAAATGTTTTAATCTGTGACCAAAATGTTGAATAAAAAGTTGAGCAACTCCTGTCTGTCCTCATTGAAAAATAAACATGACTTCATTTTTCAAATTACAAGGTTAATTATGTCTTTGTCAAAATATGGTTCTAGCATGACATTGAGTTAAAATTACTTCACTGTGAATGCTTTAAAAATTATAGCACTTAACATAAGTTTAAAAATGAACTGGAGCACCACACTGACCATTATAATACCCATTGTAGGGCAAATTCAGACTAATTTCTACCGTGATGGGGTCTATACTTAAGTAAAGACTTGATTTACTGAATAAAATACACTTCTTAAAAACGTGCTCCGTCAAGAAGCCCAGCCACTGAAATGACAGGTTTGTCCATGTGACCCGGAAGTGAAAAAAGTTCCTGTTAGAGGAATGCGACCAAAGCGCACTTTTTTAACATTTAAATGTTTTTAGTATAAAAATGTGCTAAGCTACTCAACTAGCTGAAGTTATATTTAATATTTATATTTTTATTTCGAACAGACAAAACATCAAAAGGAAAAGAAAATAGAATGAAATAAAATGTAATACAAATTATTTTGCCCGTGTGACATGCAACATTTTATATTTTCTGTTCGAAAAGGAGCAGGTAGAAGATACATCTTATGTCCTGCCCCTTGTAACTTCCGGTTTACAATTTAGATGTGATTTAGTTGTCCATTTTTATTTTAGAGACTTGTTATTTTGTGAATATCAATTTTAAAACATGTCAAAGTAGCCATAAAATCGGCTACGCAATAAAAAGGGTCTATTTTAATTGGCGTAATAATACAGCTGGGTGACGTACGTTCAGTATAAAAGATCCCGTCCACTAAACAACCTCAGTCAGGAGTCGAGGATTTAGAGGTGCGGTTGTAATCTAACAGGAGCAGCTGTCGACTACAATTGTAAGTATAAATTTTCCCTTGTTTCGATTTTACTCATATTTTGTTCTTCGGTTCAGTAGCTTATGTTTAATTATTGTCACGTTTGAATCTAGTCCGATTTGTTACTTTAATTTTACGACAATCCAGCAACAAAAACCGACTGAAATGACTAGCAGCAAACAAACTAATTAGATTTTCTGAGGTTAGATACAACCGTGAAATGCATTATAAAGTTTCTAACTTTATAAAGAAACAGAGTTATTCTAGCTGTTTCATCCATTAAGGCCTTAAGCTGCTGTGAAGAGAAGAAGGGTGAAAATGAAGGCAAACAATAGCTTTTTCTAAAATGGCGCATGTTCTGGAAACGTCGCTGTGTTTTTAACAGGATGTTAAAACAGGATTTTAAAAAATGATTATAATCAGTCCCACTGACTAGGTTCGGTAGGACAACTGTAATTTTATTATTTGTATGAGTGTAAAACAGTCTATGGTCATAGTGTTTTATTTTTATTCAAAACTGTTCTCTTTGTCTATTTTTTTTTTTTCCATCGAGGTAATCATTGCTCTTTTTATCCGATTTAACTGTAATGACTAATTAAGGTTTATTTTATTTTTACAGGTATAAACATGCAGATTTTTGTCAAGACCCTCACTGGCAAGACCATCACCCTGGAGGTGGAGCCCAGTGACACCATTGAAAATGTCAAGGCCAAGATCCAGGACAAGGAAGGCATCCCTCCTGACCAGCAGAGGCTGATCTTCGCCGGCAAGCAGCTGGAAGATGGCCGCACCCTGTCCGACTACAACATCCAGAAGGAGTCCACTCTCCACCTGGTCCTGCGTCTGAGGGGTGGGCAGTAAAAGATGTCATGATTTTATTCTGCTAAAATAAAATCACTTAAGTGTCAACTGAAACTAATAAAGCATAAGATTGCAGTGAATGGCCTCAGTTGTTTTTCTTCCTGTATATTTATAACCCAATGTGTGTCTCTGTGAAACGTAAGTTTTAATATAAACATGCCTTATGATCTTGCWTAGGTTCATATTTGCAAATTTATCGGCCCTCGAGTTGTGACTTTAAAATTCTCAAATCATTTCTTGCTATTTTAAACCACTAGATGTCACCACCTCCTCACATCAGGTCTTGCTGTAGCACTGATAACAGAAGTGTGCAGCTGGTCCCATGAGGTTAGATGTACATTTAGGTTTAACTGTACTGTAAATAGACTTATTTCTAATTTCTGTGTAGCGGGGACCCCTCATTCAGAGCTTTGTGTTCTGCTGTGCCCACTAAGTGCAGCAGATGGGCGGACCTACACTCAGAAATATTTAACCCTAATTTTAAAGATTTATGTAATTTTATTACATGACAAATACCCATTTCCTTTTTAGGTAAATTTAACACAAAATTACAAACCTTTCATGATGCCAGTTCATTCAAGTAATAAAGTCTATTTTAAATGCATAATCTTCAGGTGTTCAGTGTAGTTACTCTAATTGAAGTATTTAAATTACAAAACATTGTTTGAATTGCATAATATTTAGGTTACAAAATAAATAGCATTTTTTGTGAATTACATGTCATAGTTAAATTAGTCAAAATGCAATATTTATGCAATTCCTTTCCATTCAGTACCATTAATGATGCATWGCAATCAGACCACCTTGTTGATTAAACAACTTTATTAGCATTAAAGACAAAATTATCAAAATGATGCTTCAGTCATAATGTATTTAAATAAAAGTTTGACTTGTTTACATTAAGAAGACCCTATGTCCTGTTTTTGTCGTACTTTCCCCTTTGACTTCCATTCATTTTTGTAACTGTATTCATGTCTAACCCAGACATTTTCCCTAAAATTAACCATTACTGGTTTATAGTTAACCCTAACCTGAACCAAATCTTAATTCACACCATACCTCTAAACCTTAGTAGTAAAGCACAGTAGAGCTGCAAACAAAGTGAGGACATTTAAGAGGTCCTCATTTTACATCAAAGACCTCACTTTGATAGTAACTATTGCACAAATGGTCCTGAGTCAAAACAAGTACACACACACACATGCATTCGAAAAGCAGATTGAATAAATGTCAACTAGTTCCATTCAACTAAATCGAGTAAAGATAATAGTTTTACTTTATATTTTATGTAAATTTCATGATAAAATAATTTAAAACTAAAATCCATTACATCTGTTTATTTTTCATACATATCTTTTCAGGGATGCATATCACCCACTACCTTTCATGTCAGACTTTTAAACTAAGATTACAAATAACAGACAGAAAGGCAGTGCCATGGACAAGCTGGGAGTATTTGTACGACTCCGATGGTTGGGGCTGGACTCAGAGAGGACTGTCCATGTCTCGTAGTACATCCCAGTCTGGTGGTCCTCCTGCACCCATCGGGCCATGTCATTGAACTGGTTCCCTGCAGGGTAAAAGACAGAGCCTCTTGACACCAAGGAAAAGGTCAAATCTGTAACTTTCATGCAGACATCCTTCAGTTCCTGAGTCACACAAAACAGGATCAATTCACAGCTGGAACAAAAAAAGCAGAAAAACAGAACTCTCAGCTGGACAGAAACCTGATCCTCACTCATCTGGCTGATGAGACCT